GCAATAGGGTTGCAAAAGTTGCGTCTTGTGGAAGCGGGCCATCACCAGGATGTGATTTCTAGCGTTATGCTCAAGGTGTTAAGAAAGTTCAGTTCGGCTCCGGTAGAAAAACCGGTTGTGAAAAATGTGGTCTGTGTGCCTTATTATCATGGAATATCTCACAATTTGAAGTCAGTGGCCAAGAGGTTCGGAGTAAATTTAGTTTTCAAGGCACAACATAAATTGGAAAGCTTAACCCCCTTTTCGGGTGGTCGTCAGGGTTGCCTAAAGAAACACCAAAACCCTGATTTAACTTGTCAAGTAGGAGTTGTATACGACATTCCGTTGCGGTGTGGATTGTCTTATGTAGGCCAAACTGGTCGCTGTTTAAATGATAGGTTGCTGGAACATAAAAGGGCGGTAAAAGACAATGCGCAGAATTCAGAAATAGCTAAACATGTTGTAGACTGCAATCACTGTCAGCCTGAGTGGGGGGATACCCAGGTATTGCATAAAGAGAAAGAAAATGGTAGAAGAGTTGTGAGGGAGACTTTATGTATTTTGGAGCGTGGCAATTGTGTCAGCACACCGTCCTTGGGTTTCGGAAGTGAACTGAAACGCTTTCTATGTCTTTAATTTTTTTTTTTTTTTTTTTTTTTTTTTTGGAGGGGTGGTTGAATGCTAACACCGTGTCTGTTCGATAGGCCTGTTATCAGTTGTGGCTAATCGGTTCCGTAAAACTCTCTTTTTTTTTTTTTTTTTTTGGGGGGGGGGAGTGGGGGGGTGTTTTCATTGTTAGCAGGGTTTGAGTGCCTGTTTCTTGGATTGGAAAGGGGTCAGTTTTTGGTTGGTATGAAAGGAAGGGAGGTAGCATGTGTCATTGGTTCAGTTTGAGATGTCGTTGATGGAGTGGAGAGGAGGTGTGTCGACCTTTGGAGAGGAGGGTTGTTGTGTATATATAAGAGCGGAGGTGTTCAAATAAACTAGAAGCTGTGTTTGAGACTTGTTGTTGTTTTGTCCGTTTTTTTATTTTTCCGTGTCTCCGGTTTACGATGGAAGTTGATATTGATGTTTATTAGAACTTGACAATAGCTTTATTCCCAGGTAGCACACTTGCTTGGTTTAGCCGGGGCCAGGGTTGGCACTTAGTTTTGATAGCTTGGCCACGACTGCCAAGCCATTTACGTCTGTATGCCAGCCTGGCGTTTCACAGTCTTTCCTTGCTCCAGAAAGCCACGGAACTGCCAGGGAACGCCTTCCCTGGTTGACCAATCAATTTCCTTGGTCATTGATGACCAGTGTAAACAGTCCGCTGCCAGTATTTGATGTACCCTGGCTGTCTATTGATTTTACTCGGCCAGAGATGGCCAGGCTAGCAATGCCTCTGCCAAGCTTTGGGGTTCCATGGTAGTTCGCAGGAATTCCCTGGTCCGCTCAACACAAGCAACAGCCAATATTCGGACATGTTGCCAGATCGAAGATAGGGTGAGCCAAGGAATGTCAGGGAATTGCCGCTATGCAATGTTCCGTGGCTCAAGCTGGTATTTATCGAACCCAGAATGCCCGCCTGAAAGCCAGTGTTACTCTATAGTTCGTTCAACTTTTTCCATTTTTTTAATTCGTATGAGCGTTCTCTTAACATATTTTTGGTGCTTGGTGGCAAGAGCCCTCCCAAGCAGCACCAGAAAGTGAATTTTGATCGGCCGACGGTTGGCCAATGTCTGGACAGCTTGGACACTTTAAGTGCTTGGCCACCGGAGACATAAACAAGGCCGGCAAGAGTCCGGCCACAAACAAGCTGTTTTTAGCTTGTCCGCCGGAGACATAAACACTGCCGGCAAGCGCCTGGCCAGAAGTGCTGATTTTCAGCTTGGCCGCCGGAGACATAAACACGGCCGGCAAGTGTTTGGCCAGCAGTGCTGGTTTTCAGCTTGGCCGCCGGGGACATAAACACAGCCGGCAAGTGTTTGGCCAGAAGTGATGATTTTCAGTTTGGCCGCCGAAGACATAAACACGGCCGGCAAGTGTTTGGCAAGCAGTGCTGATTTTCAACTTGGCCGCCGGGGACATAAACACGGCCAGCAAGTGTTTGGCCAAAGGTGCTGATTTTCAGTTTCGCCGCAGGGACACCCATAATCTAAACTTTCATCGCGTTGACGAAACTTTGGCATAACGACGGGCAGCGAGAGAAGCATCATGAGCGAGTGGTTGGCCGGATATTAGTGCGTGCATCGCGCGAACACTGTTAGCGCAAGCAAACGATCACCGTTTTATTCAGTTTTTCTTTTGTTCGTTAGACTTGAAAGGCTATTGTCTTAACTAACACTGTCGTGTGATATGTTCATTTTGAACATTACCAGAAGAGGGAAAATATTGTGCCCGTTGTTGTTTTATGAAAATAAAATACGAAAACAGCGCCCACGTCATCTTCGCGCTAACAATACCGCTCCGTCGCTGCGCGGCACTCTTAGCGCGGATAGCACATCCCCGATTTTTCGGTTAGTGCTCCACATATTTACTTCCCAACTGCACTCGAAGAAAAAAAGTTGTAGTCGGGTACATCGGGCGCACATGCTTCCCTTTCCTGGAAGACGCGCCCTCCGTTATACCCAGCCAGTGTACTTGTACACCGACCATAACCCCCCTTCTCTACCTTAAAAACCTATAGGTGTATCAATGCACTCAGCTTAGTAAACCGCCACGCTAGCCACGCTTCCCGATCAGCTTGTGCTTGAATCGGATAAAATTGGATATTTCAGGCTTTGTGTTTTGGAACAGCCTAAACAAGACATCTCTCATATCTTGATTAAACTTAAGCTAGTCTCAGTAATGTTTTATATAGGTGCTAGGATACTGATTTCCTGGGCCAAGGAAAGCTAACAGCTTCGGTTAATACCGCAACGGGAACGTTCAAATCGAACGACACGTAAAAGAGAAAGAAAATGAACATCTCGACCTAGATGTGCAGAACGCTGGTTTTGTTGTTAACAACGTGGTTGTTGGCAGGCGGTGGGCAACGCCGTGACGCTATTAGGGAGTTTTAAAATAGCGCACGCTAAAGCTTTGTGTGCGCAAAAAATAGCATCGTCGCCACTGCGCATGCTCCGAACGCAAACCAGATTTTGCGCTTTGCGTGCGCAATTTTAGCGTGCGCTATTTCTCGGAAATAGCGTGCGTACGCAAAGAGTCTTTGCGCTTCTCCAAGGAGGATTCGTGATGAGAAGTTGGCTAAAGGTTGGCTAAAGCCAAGACGAGCAGAGTTGAAAAAAATGGCGGCATCCTCGCGACTGCGATTTTCAATACGGGACGACATTGGACTCGGTTTGCAAACGATCACCGACAGCTTGATGCTTGTGACGCGCGAACATTTCTCGGCGAAGGTACGATGTGCGAAGGTCAGTACAACGAGACCTCTCTTGCCGAGGCGACGCAAGCGGACACGACCGGTCAACCGCTCGCGTCGCATTCTCACGTTTAAACGAATCTAAAATAATACTCTGGACCAAAAAACTTTTTTTCTTAAGTTACAGCGTTTCGTGTGTGAAATAAAAATTGTGACGGTATCTTGGTGGCGTCGCAAGCGCGAGATGCTTGCGCTTTTGCGTCGCGACGGAGAAACGCTATTCTAAAACTCTCTCGCGTCGCGTGCGCTAATACAAGCGCTAAATTTAGCGCTCGCGTGCACTAAAATTGCGTACGTTATCCTAAAACTCCCTATTGACGCTATCGTGGTGATTGACGCCAGTGATATTCGGCAGTCTTGGGTAGTAACGCGTTACTAGTAACGCGTTACTGTAACTTCGTTACTTTTTTCGTAACTTGTAACTGTAACGAGTTACTTTTTAAAAATGTAACTTGTAACTGTAGTTCTATTACCTTTTTCTGAGGTAACGATGAAAGTAACGACGTTACTTCTGTCGTTACTTTCCAGTGTTTTATGAATAATATATCACTGAACGAGGGGGTGCAATTTAACCATTCCTTGCACTTTCCAAATCGTCTATTCCAACATTTCGAGTGTCAAGCATGCCTTGCACAAAGTTGTGAATACGTTCTTTCTCACGAGTCACGACCCGAATATAGCCACGTGTAGATTTTATGAAAAAAAGATATCTTGTTATCTTTAAGCACGCCTTTGTCTTTGTGACTGAACACTTACATCTTAGTTTCTTGAAGCTCTATCTATGTTGTGGTTTTTCTTTTTTCTGTGCGAACGCTTTTAATCGGGTGAATCAACCGTGAAACAAAAATACACGTGGAGGGCACTGCGCATGTCTCGTATTTTGATTTGCGCCACTACTCTAGCATGGAAACTTTCAAACACTAACTTCGAGACGCAACTGCAGCTTAGTTACAATATGAAGTAAAAAGCGTACTTTTTAATTTTATGTAATAGAACGTCGTGAGGGGCGTTTTCTAGTTTTCTTCTCATTTTTTTGTGTTATAGAAAAGTAACTGAAAAGTAACGTCGTTACTTTTTAAAAGCAACTGTAACTGTAACGAGTTAATCTTTTGTTGCGGTAACTGTAACGGTAACTTCGCTACTTTTTTCTGAAAGTAACTGTAACTGTAACGAATTACTTTTTAAAAGTAACTTACCCAAGACTGATATTCGGACGTACTACACAGTAAAAGTTTTTACACCTTTAACGGTGTAAAGGGGTGTTGTATCAAATTACACCCTTGGCTACACCCTTTTAACACCCTTTAACGCCGAATTTATTTTTCAGTCGACTAAAAAAATATGTTTTTGCTGGAATGTGGTGCTTAAGGTGCTCTTAAAAAGATACAAACATTGTGAATTGTGACGGGTACCCTATTTGGCTAAAAGAGGTATGTCGCGAATTCGCAACAACAGGCCACGAAGTCAATAATTTCACCACGCCATCTGAATAAAATTTATTTTTTTCACCAATAATATTAGCGTAGTAAAAAAAGAAGTCTCGAAAGGAGTGGAACAAACTTTTGCTTATTGCGTTCCCAGAACAAACAAGCAGCGCAGAAAGTACCTGGCTTCTACTTTATGGCTGATGGAAATCAAAGAAGCAGTTGGTATTCTTGTTGAGGCAAAGATGTGCGTTGCATTTGCTGCACATTACGTTGGTATGTCCCTTGCAACCAGGTTTCTTGCACCGCTGTCTCGTGTCTTTGACAACCGGCCAATGTCCTGTGCTGTCCGTGCGGACGTCCTCGTTGGGGATGTGGCTCGTGGGTCCTCGTCGCTTCTTCATTTCGAGTTGAGCTTGAAGAGAGCCGGACGGTCGTCCCCGCTTCTTTGAGGAGAGGTCCTTTCCTTGTTTGCAGAGAGCTTCCGCAATTCCAAGCCGGAATTTCAGCAGGTCTCTCTGCTTATTCTTTGGAACGCCCAGTGACTGACAGTCTCGTCGGTAGAGGAGCCAGCTCACAACAATCACCATGTCCAAAAAGTGAAAAAAAACCTTGAGATAAAATTTTTTTGACCTCAGCTGGATCCGATAGTATGCTATCAGTGCATCAAGGAGATCAACACCTCCCATGTACTTGTTGTACGTAGCAACTGCGCTAGGACACTCAACCTGGACAGACTTCTTTTCACGCCTATCCCACCTCATGACAGTGGAGACGGGTTGTGCACCGGCAAAGGTACTTGCAGTGGTCACCGATCGGTTGTCGTACCACTTGACAACGATCACCTTCTGGTTATCCACCACTGCCTCGTACTCTTCTGCACTTCCTCGTCCTCTCTTGCGGAGTTCTGTGTCCGTGGCCATTTTGCAACCCTGCAGTCGATTTGCACGCACGGTACCAAGGGCATATATGCCTCTTTGTGCCAAAGTCACGAGAAGCTTCAGAGACGTGAACCAATTGTCAAAGTACAGAAGGTGGCCCAGTTGAGGCTGCACGCACTGAGCCAGTTTTATGACGATGTTACCACTTGCCCCGATGTCAGGAAAACCCGGCACTTGATCGATGTGGCCAGTGTACACGTCAAAAGAGTGTACAACACCCCTGGAGTCACAAAGCATGAATATTTTGTAACCCCACTTGTGAGGCTTCTTGGGGAGGTATTGCTTGATGCTGGAGAGCCCTTTGAAGGGAACCATCTGTTCGTCCACACAGAGGCATTGTTCCTGAGGAATTTCCTCGAATTTCGGGAGCAGCATCCCGAGAAGCGGGCGAATCTTGAACAGTCTATCCTTCGGGGAGCTGTCGGCTGGTGGCATGCTGAGGTTGTCGTTGAAGTGCAGCGAGGATTTGATCTCCTCCCACCTGTCGCGCGTCATAATATCGGCCACAACTGGTAGTCTGCATTCAGCTGACCAGTACAAACGAGATCGTGGTAGCTGGAAGATCGACATGTAGACAGTGCAGCCTAGAAACTGCTCAAGTTCCACCCGGGACAAGGCTAGAGGCTTATTCGGGTTTTGCTGTACTGCATAAAGATTGCTCTGCTGCACAATTAGATTGAACACGTTGTCGTCGAAGAATCCCTGGAAGTACTCGATTGGGGACCTGACGGCCTCGCTCTCATGCGCAGCGCCTTTCCACTGAGGAACGTCATTACTCAGAGATGAAGATGTTTTTGACCAGTGCACTGGCCGATTCACTCCTTTCGAGGAAGCTGGCACCGATTCTTCCTCTTCTTCACTTTCTTCGCTTGTGTCATTATCGGGGGGTGCGTTGAACTGTTGGGGAGGGTTGTAGTCCGCATCCTCATTGTCAGTGTCACTTAGGCAGCTGTCGTCGCTTCCGTCTTCGGGTGGTAAACGCGCCCTACACGGAATTTTCTTCTTCCCATAGAAGGAGCGAGCGTCCATGACCTACAATATATAAAGTATGGCTCATTAAAACTAAGTGGTAGGCCAGAAATATTTTTTTTGTTTTAGATTAGCCAAACTGCGACTTGCAAATCACTGAATGCCGAGTGTCGCAAATTCGCGACAAAGCGAACAGAACATCTTATTTTCTGAAAGACCTCAGTATTAAAAGGATGTGTGCTTTGTGCAGTTAGTTGGGACCACATTTAAGCTAGAAACATTTTTAAAACGACAACTTACCTCTCGATTACGCTAGAAGGACAGCTGGGAATTCGAAAACCACGTGCTCTGAAATCTTGTCCACCGGCAAAAGTTGTTTACGGCGCAAAGTACATCGGGCGGCCGACAGATGGCGCAAGCATACCGTGGCGCTTCGGTAGGTACGTCGCGATTTCGCGACAGTCGGCGCGGGGCTCATAGATGACGGAAAGATTTTATACAGTGAACTAAGTGGTATGTCGCGAATTCGCGACATACGTCCTTAAAGGGTTAACACCCTAAAAACTAGGAATACAACCTCGTAATTTTACCGAAAAGGGTGCTGTTTTGTGTTACACCCTACATTTAGTGAAGAATGTGAGAAGGGTGTAGAAGAGGGTGCTAAATAAATAATGTGAAATGGTTTTGGAAAGCTTATATATGGCTCTGTCCATAATGTACAGGTAAGATTTCTGCTTGAAAAGCAACAGTTGTTAGCAGTCTAGTTTTTTTATAATGTCAGTTGTAATTCATGCAAATAGCTGATAATAAAGTGCTCTTTTGCATACAAATTTTATGTTTGCAAACAAAATTTTATGTATGAGTTCATATTTCATTTTCTTTCAAATCACTCCATGATCAAAAATTGGAAAGTAGGGTGAAATGCTTTATACTAGCATTTTTTACAAATATTTATTGATGGAAGTGTACAGTAAAAAAAATCAGTTAGTCTCGAGCTTATATCTGGCAACATGAAATCAAAATATAGTGAAAATGTTTGACAAATATTAATGACATGCTGCTAGAACATGTCACATGACCACGTCAACCTGAGTAAAATATTAATTTGAGAAAATGGTGACATGCACAAAAACTCACACACATAAAGAGGCAAATCCCATGATAAACCAGTCAGAGATATCCCATACAAAAATGGCCTATGGGCGTCTATGGAAAATTCAATGGCATGCTATCACCCCCGTAGCTCTGCATGGTTAGCCTTAGAAATTTATAGATACAGCTACAGCCAGCTATAGAAAAGTTTAGGGCCCTGTATCTAAAGACTCAGGGCTATGTTTCAATAACAACAACAACAACAATAATAATAATAGTAATAATAATAATAATAATAATCAATAAGTTAGTGTTTTAACAGAGTCCAGGGATATCCAATTGTTCTTCTTGCGGGCGCAGTGCAATAGAACGCACAAACAGACGCTTGCGCGCTCTCAGTCGCACTCATACACGCGCGGACGCACGTACACACGCATGCACACGCGCAAACCCACACCCGCGCGCGGACGCACACGCACGCACAACCAGAGACGCACACACGCATGCACGCGGACGCATCCACACGCGCGTGCACAAACACGCACGCGCATGCACGCACACACACACAAACAATTACGACGAAGGAATCGTTGCTTAAGTTAGTTTCGGTTTCGGTTTACACAAAAAAGAAACAAATAAAGTTTAAATAAAACCTAAAATTTATTCACTTTTTGTAATGTTTTACTATATTATTTTATGGAGATTCTTATTGTTACTAATATAATAATAATTTGCTTAGTATCGTTCTAAAAAATAACAATAAATAAAAAGGAAAAGAGGCTCTTGAAGACTGCGCAAGGCAATCGCTATTGCAATCAGCTTCCGTTGGGTGCGGTTGAATGTTCGTTGAAGTTCCAGAGGCTTCGGAAATCTCCTTCTTTTTCACGTTTTAGCCGTTTTTGTGGATATTTTAGATATCTTCCTTATGAATACCGTCTTCAAGAATAGCAATCGATGACGTAGAGCTGGGAGACGCTGCGTCTTGCCAACGCCCGTAAGTTCAGAACCGCTCAGGCACGACTAGTGCAAACGCCGGTAAGAAACTTTCTTTTGTTTCTGCGAAGTGGGCTGCTGTTTCAAACTTTGTCGTGTACCGTGCATGTGCTTGCTAAGCTATGCTTGATTCTAACTATGCTTCTGCCCTGTGTTATTTCGTTATTTGAAAAGAGCGCATCTTCTTCAAAACCTGTGGTTCGCTCCGCAGTGTGAGAAAGATTACCGTACGGCGGAACCGTGGGCCAGAGCCGCCGTGGGCATGTTCTGGGCGCCGTCGTGCGGCGCTCGTCCGACGACGCTTGTGCGGAGCGTTCAAGTGCCGTCTGACGGCAGTTCAAGCATTCAGTTGCCGTCCCAAAGTGTTAATCACAGGTCATGCTAGTTCTGACGTCTTGTCCTAACAGCCGCTCGCCACCGATTTGTTTCATAAAGCGGGAGCCAGAAAAACACTACAAGAGCGAGCATGCAGCATGATTTTTTGCATAAGCTAATGCCTGTGCCGTAGAGACGCGCGGTCTCTTCGTCATATTTCCGAGGGTAAAAGCGCTAAAAACAACGGACAAACAACGCCCTGTGTTGTTTGTTTCTTTTACTTGTCCGTTGTTTTTAGAGCTTTTACCCTCGGAAATTATGTCTCTTCTCGTTTGCCGAACCGGCACACTTTTTAAGTTTACGATTGTGTGATGCAAAAAACAAAAGGAGTTTAGATGTCACGTTCTTTAGTAGTGGCGAAAGCCCTTACAAAAATCGGAGCAGCTAGAAAAAGTAAAAACATAAAAAAAGGCGCAAAAAATTAACTAATGTCAAACCTGAATATTTGATGGAGTTCAAAATCTACCACCGTTCCAACTCGCCCGGTTATTCTTTCTGTCAAAGAATAATAGCCAATAGTAATAAACAAATAAATGCCAACTATTAATTGGTTACAAAGTCGTAATTGGCGCAGTGCAGCCCTACGCTACTCTACTCTTTTGATGATATCAGGTAATGTGCTAATGTATAGGGCAGTTCATAGCAACCATTTATGCCCGACCCATTATATTGAGTTTTTTCTTTATATAAAAGTTATATGAAAAAAAGTGCTCTTCCTAAATTAAGCCGCACCACTGTATGTACAATAGCGTGTAACGTTTATGTATGTTCTCAGCAAAAGAAAATGATGCATTAAAAAAAGGCCAATCATTTTCTTTCCTCTCTGTTAGAGCTCCTTTCATGTATATGCAAAATGTGGGTGTCTACGTCTGAAAGAGTGGAATTGACATTTCCTGCAGGGCTGGAATGCCTGACTCAGTTTGGCTAGCAGCTTGAAACCTATGGGAACCTGGGGAACTGAACCACAAGAGTGAGAGTGACACCCGCGTTGCACTTCCTGAACGATGGCACCATGAGGAAGGGGGAGCTGCCCTAAAGTGAATGCAATAGCAGGTGGGTCGTTCCAGTGAACCCCTATACAGATGATACCAAGCAGAAAATTATTAATAAATGTGTTATTAAAAACATGGAATGTGAATGGCACGGACAAGAAGGAGGAGATCAAAACAGCGCTGTGTTGTGTTCATATCCTCCGTTCCCATATTCTTCATGATTTCTTTTCAATAATTGGCTACTAACTAGTCCAATCATCAGCACTAGTCAATAAAAGTATGGTGCTATTTCTTAATATGCGTTAACACCGTGCTTGCAGTTGAATCCTACAGTCATTTATTAATAAACAAAAACGACGGTGCAAGCAAGCTAAACAGGCTAAACACATAATTTATTAAAGACGGGTTCTCTGAAGGATGACAGAAACGCAGAGAAGTATCAAACACAGCTGAGTATTAATGGGCAAAAAATGAATAGGCGACCCAAAAAAGAAAACGTAAGGAAAGACATGAAGTCAATCTTTACAATTTCTCTTCTGCTTGCCACCACTTTACAAAGGGAATTCCTTCCTGGGCGTTAAAGCATTTTACTGTTCACAACCCCTGACATGCCCAAGGACAGTAAACATAAAAAACAACCTACTAACATTTGAGTAAATGTGATTGAACAAACAACAGGGAACGCCTTGAGCTTTCAACCTAGGAAATAAAAAAAATGTGCACAACATCAATATTTAAAAAAAAACAGACAGACGCATCACACCTGTTTCTAACAAAAATACAGTCCAAGAAACTTCTTCCACTCGATGGCAAAACACAAGGAAGGCACTAATAGATTTCTAGGTTTCATCATTGTTAGTGATTCTTTCAGTATACACTTGTGGTCACTATCTTTAGTCAAAATTATTTCATCATCATCATTCATTAACTCATCATCACAGTTGTGTTCTTTAAAGGGGTACGGAAACAAAAATTGAAATATTCAAGTTTCGTTCGGAAGTGAGTCAAGCATGACGGATAATAACCGTAAATGATAATCGCACGTTTGTATTTTGAACGACTGGCTATATTTTTCGTTCCAAACGGTGCACTCGAACGAGTGCTCGAAGAGACGCGAACGGAGAGCGCGATGTGTCATGGGATATCCGGCGCAAACAAAAACAGAAAGAAAAGATTCCCCGCGTTCGTGGAGTAGCAAGGCAGGCGTGGTTATGAGCTTTGCCCTTGGTGGCGTTGTCAGCGTTGTGGTGGTGTCAATAGCGTCAGCGCGTTACAACCGAGCCGTTCAAAGTACCCGTGGCGTGACGAGCGTGTGGCTGGCCCACGTGGGCTGGCCCAAGGAGCACGTAGCTTCCACAACACTGTCAGCTTAGGGCTGAACGGGATGGGGAAAGCAACTTTTGTTCGAGTTTAGAGCGACGGGCTAATCTTCTAGGGGGAGAATGGCTGTTTCCGGTTGCACGAACGAGGGTCCGAGAATGAGGAGAGTCCTTCCTTTCCGTCTTCTTGGACCGTTTGGTACAATGCGCAATTTGTGAGTCGAGCCAGGAGGAAAGCTAAGAAAGAAAATGTTAAAATTCCAAAGGGCGGCGCTGCTCCGAAGGAATC